TCAAAAAATGGGGAATATCTGGGGCTGGGGGGGATTAAAAATCGAGATTTAATTAAAATAAATTATATTTCATTAAATTGATGGAATTGTAAATTTATAGATTTGTTTAATTAAAAAAAATGGAAAAATTCCGCGTTTTTTGATAGAAAATCCCTAATTTTTTGATATAAAATTCCACATTTTTCCCTCTAAATTTCCCAAAATTCCTCATTTTCTGATCTAAAATTCCACATTTTTTCACCTAAAATTCCTCATTTTTTGATAAAAAATTCCACATTTTCTGCTATAAAATTCCACGTTTTTTGATATAAAATTCCACATTTTTTGATAGAAAATTCCTCATTTTCCAACCTAAAATTCCTCATTTTCTGATATAAAATTCCACATTTTCTGCTATAAAATTCCACGTTTTTTGATATAAAATTCCTCATTTTCTGCTATAAAATTCCACATTTTCTGGTATAAAATTCTACATTTTCCCACCTAAAATTCCACATTTTCTGCTATAGAATTCCCCATTTTTTGACCAAAAATTCCACTTTTTGCCACCTAAAATTCCACATTTTTTGACCTAAAATTCCTCATTTTTCAACCTAAAATTCCACATTTTTTGATAAAAAATTCCACATTTTCTGATATAAAATTCCTCATTTTCTGATCTAAAATTCCACATTTTTCAATCTAAAAGTCCACATTTTCTGATCTAAAATTCCACATTTTTTGATATAAAATCCTCATTTTCTGATATAAAATATTCCCAAAAATTTCCCCCAAAATTTACCAGAAAATTCCAAAAAAATTCCCAAAAATTCCAAATAAAATTCCCCCAAAATTCCCAAAATATTCCCAAAAATTTCCCCCCAAATTCCCAAGAAATTCCCAAAAAATCCCTAAAATTCCTCATTTTCTGATCTAAAATTCCACATTTTTTCACCTAAAATTCCTCATTTTTTGATAAAAAATTCCACATTTTCTGCTATAAAATTCCTCATTTTCTGCTATAAAATCCTCATATTTGATATAAAATTCCACATTTTTTGATATAAAATTCCACATTTTTTGCTATAAAATTCCACATTTTCTGCTATAAAATCGTCATTTTTTGATATAAAATTCCTCATTTTCCCACCTAAAATTCCTCATTTTCTGATATAAAATTCCACATTTTCCAACCTAAAATCCCCAAA